GTGGAAGTTGATTATCACCGATTCATGTTAATAATTCACCCTAAGTTCTAGCGTCATCGTCCCACTAGCATGGTTGAGAATCAGCCCAAGGATCTCATGAGAAGGGATTGAGATATTCAGGTTGCCCATAGGATCCAACGTATCCTTCTTGTGCTGACTTTCTAACTCGTTGGTTCACCATATTCTTGAAGGGACCCTGACTGGAGGGATTATTCTTCAGGATCTGAACATGTTGATATTCCTACACATTTGTGATCTAACTTGGTCCCGTCTTACCAGGAACTAGCGTTTGTCATCTGTTTCGTGCTTGTATTCCTCTTTAAGGGACCCTGACTGGAGGGATTATTCTTCAGGATCTGAACATGTTGATATTCCTACACATTTGTGATCTAACTTGGTCCCGTCTTACCAGGAACTAACGTTTGTCATCTGTTTCGTGCTTGTATTCCTCTTTTGTTGTAGCAAAAAAAAGGAAAAAAATGGACCAATATTCCGCCCATGGAAAGTTATTTTATTGATTAAGGTTAGAAAAGCTAGCAATGTACCTACTGATCTGGTCAATATAATTGTGAGAAAAGAAAAGCGAGGATCCAAAATATAATATATGCATATATGTCTATATATATATATGTATATAATGTGAAGCTCACAAATCTGTCCTACAGCAAGAGAAGGTAAGTCGTTCATTTGTATAAAATATTTTTTGAGCTTCAACATTCGTGTTAGACCCTTAAATTTTGCATGATCTCAAAATTAGAGTAAGAAAAAAAGATTCGCCCTAGCTTACCATGAATTATTACCAAGTAAATTTAGAGTAAATAAAAGAGATCCATTAATGAAAATCAAAATAAGTTGTATTCATCCATCAGATCCCTGCAGCAATTCACCCTGATGAGATATATATATTCTTCCTCTATCCACGAGTCTTAACAGGTTTCTCTATGTATCGTTCCAGACAGTAAACGTTGCAGGAGCTCCATGGCAGACTGCAGCCATGTTTGCAGACCTTGGTGCCACGGTAGGAACAGCTGTTGGCACCCAATTGTTACAGGCAGAATCTTGATGATCATCATACCCATCAACACATTTCACTGCACTTGCCGATGACTGTAATTGTGATGATGACGAAAAATAATATAAATTTCTTGCATGGTAATTAGGATCCGATGAAACCAGATGATGATCATAACCACCGATCACCTTCACGCCATCACTCTGTTGATCTTCTGTAAACCCATTTGGTTGACTTTGGCTGCCATCGTCAGCGACCATAAACCCTCCGTTAATGTTACTGTACCCAACTGATCCTCCTTGATAGACCACAGAATTAGTGGCGATGAGATTGTGGAGTAAATTAGGTTGAAAGAAATTGTGGGTGTTTCCCAGTTGCAGTAGCTGCTGCTGCTGATGATGATGATCCGAAAAGCTGTGATGATCAGAATCTGGCTCTGGCTTGCACCACAGCCGAGGTTGATGAAAAGCAATGGTAGACGGCCAAGTAGCTGCCGTGTTGCCTATTCCGTCAGGAGGTGTGAA